AACATCTCATCCAAAGGACGGCACCTTCAAGCTCGCCCGCACTTGGAGAATCAGCTTCATTTATTATAGTCCCCAATCCTGACGTGGGGCTTGAACCCACAATCTTCTGACTCAGAGACAAGCGAGCTATCAGTTGAGTCAGCCTGACACAAATTTCTCTACATAACCCCAAAACAACAACAACAACAACAAGATAACATGTGTATAGCGCTTTTCACGTTGGGAGGACGTCCCAAGGCGCTGGACAGTGTACAGCGTTTCAGACCCGAGCTGGGGTCAGGGGGCGAGAACATAACATAACACGTAGGAGCAGGAGGAGGCCATTCGGCCCTTCGAGCCTGCCCCGCCATTCAAACATGGCTGATCTGATCTAATCTAATCTGACGCTGCCTTATCCTATATCCCTTAATCCCTTTTGCAATAAGAAACATATCTATCTCAGTCTTGAATATGGAGGTCACAGAGGTAGGGTGGGGCGAGGCCATGGAGGGCTTTGTAGGTGAGGACCAGGATCTTGAACTGGATCCTCTGAAGGATACGGAACCAATGGAGTCGGGCGAGAATGGGGGAGATGGGGACACGGAGTTTGGTGCGGGAGAGGACACGGGCTGTAGAGTTCTGGATTATCAGCAGCTGTGGAGGGAGGAGTCAGGAGGGCCTCAGTCTTGTTCACATTCAGCTGTAGGAAATTTGCCCTCATCCAGGACTTGGTGTCCGACAGGATGGAGGCAGAGAGATAGAGTTGGGTGTCATCCGCATACATAAGGAAGTTGACCCCATGTCTGCAGATGATGTCACCGAGGGGGAGCACGTAGATATTAAAGAGGAGACAAGGACAGAGCCCTGAGGGACGCCAGACGTGACAGTGCGGGGGCTGGAGGAGAAACCGTTAGAGGCAACAAAGTGGAGACGGTGAAAGAGATAGGAATTGAACCGGGCAAGGGCAGGTCCGCGAAGATGGAGTAAAGCAGTGATGAGGATGGAGTGGTCGAGAGTGTCGAAGGCGGCAGAGAGGTCGAGGAGGACAAGGAGGCAGAGGGAGCCCTGATCACAGATGTTCAGAATGTCATTAGTGACTGTGACCCCAGGGCTGTTTCTGTGCTGTGGGCAGCGCGGAAGCCGGATTGGAGGGGTTCAAAAAGGGAATGGCGAGAGAGAAAGGAGCGGAGCTGGAACACGACGACTCATTCCAGGACCTTCGAGAGGAATGGGAGGTTAGAGATGGGGCGGGAGCTGGAGAGGAGCGATGGGTCCAGGGATGGTTTTTTTCAGGATGGGGTTGATGATGGCTGTGTTTAGGGGGGTGGTATCTGAACCGGTGGACAAGGAGAGGTTGATGACATTGGACAGGAGAGGGGCCAGAAGGTGGAGCTGGGAGATGAGGAGAGAGGTGGGGATGGGATCGAGGGAGCAGTTGGTGGGTTTGAGTTTGCGGACAGTCGTGGTGAGGGAGTGGGGAGAGAGAGGGTCGAAGGAGTATAGGAGGGGATGGGTGGTGGGTGGGGCGTGAGGGAGAGGTGGTGTGGGGGTGGCTGTGGATGGGGCTGAGGTGCCTGAACTTAACCCCTCGATTTTAGATTCGAGGAAGTCCAGCATCTCCTCACAGTTGGCGTTTGAGGAGAGGATGGGCGAGGATTGGGAAGGTCGACGGAAGAGACAGTTAGTGGTGGAAAAGAGAAGCCTGGGGTTGTCATTTGCCTCCAAGATAACCTTGGGATAGAAGGAGGATTTGGCGGAGGCAAGAGCGCAGCGGTATCTAATAAACACCTTTATTAGAGTGACACGTGGAAGTCTATGCGACTGCAGCTTTCAAAAGATAATGTACGACAGGAACGTGGTTACCGGGAAGGGCGGTGGATTCATTTAATTCATTTAAATGATTCATTTAGTAAACACCTTTATTAAAGTGACACGTGGAAGTCGATTCGATTGCAGCTTTCAAAAGGGGAATTGGGTATGTACTCGAATTTCAAGGGCTATCGGGTAAGAGCGGGGGAGTGGGGACTAATTGGGGTAAGAGTGGGGGAGAGAGGACGAGTTTGCATCTCTTTTCAAAGAACCAGCAAAGGCACGACTCCTTTCTTCTCTCGCCAATCGACTAACAACCGGGTTCCTCTCACTGCGAGGTAAGCAGAGGCACGCGCGCGCGTGTATGCGTGTGTGTGTATGCGTGTGTGTGTGTGTGTGTATGCGTGTGCGTGTGTGTGAGTGTGGAAACTTGCCTAAGGTTTCGCCCTGACCTGACCTGCACCCGGGAATCGAACCCGGGTTCCTCTCTCTCTCTCTCTCTCTCTCGCTTGCGAGGCGAGGGCTCCACACTGCACACCCGGACTCCGCCAGGATCTCGCACTTCCCGCAGCAGCTTCCGGTCTCTGGGCGGCAGCGGAAACCAGACCAGCGCCGGGAACGCCTCAAGCAGCGGACGAGTCCCCGGGGACGAAATAACCCACGTAGCTAATTGGGGTCAACGAGACAGGTTTTTATATAGATTACGCCTCGGGTAAGAAGGAGATGGATTTTAACCGCAAGTCGATCCAGATTGATTGACCTCAATTGACTGCTGCAGCCAATGGAAATGTGCTTTTTCCTTAAGCAGTCGCCATGTTACTTAGACATGGCGGCCAATCATTTATCCCAATTTGCTGGCACTCGGAAATAACATTCGACATTGATCTGCAGCATTACAGGGAGCGAGAGCGATGACTCGAGGCCTTAGCCTTCCAGTGGAAATTATTCGAGGCAATTACCGATCGCTGATCATACTTAGATACCAGTCTCCGAGACACTCCAGTCGATTCCTCCCGGTACCAGTGAGGATGCGCTGATCAGGGGGTACGGCGTCCGGGCGTGCGAAGCCTCGCTGACCCTCAGCTGCTGCTGCGGAGACTGCTTTTGCTCACCGTCTCCAACCATGCCATGGCAGTCCCTCGCGTTTGTGCTTACGATGTCAAAGGTCTCAAAAAGGGTGTGTATTTGCAGGCAAACGCAGCAGGCAATTTACACACAGCAATGCTCCCGTCCCACAGACAGAGCGCGGGTGAATGGCTAATCTGCGCAGCGAATCGCTGGCCACGGGATCCTCCCCACTCTTCCGGGGTTTGAATATCTCATCCACCGTTGGCAAGCGGCTAAACCTCCATTGCTCCCGAGCCCCGGGCAGGGCGAAGCCTTTCAGGCAAGTCACCTGGCGGTAAGTAGGAACCCGGTGGTTAGTTGGTTGGGGGGGGAATCGCTTTCCCGGAGGTAGTGATCCCTAAAAAAAAAATTAATTAAAACAAATGCTTGTGGGGACCCCGCTGGGCGCGATCGGTCGGCTGCCGCCTTTCGCCCACAAAACATGACAGTTCACTTTACAGCCCATCCCGTGAAGCGCTTTGAGACGTCTCAAAGATGTGATCAGTCGCTGTGTCGAACGCCGGGATTATTATTATCATTATTGTGACTGTTTGTAGGTAATGTGCCCTAATTGAACTCAGCCTCGCTTCATGCGACTACAGCTGATATCGTCCTCGCGGCCCCGGGTAATAACCCCTTCGAAAACAATAATAATGCTAATAATAATTTGGTCACTCGCTCCACGACTGTTCGTGGGGACGCTGCTGTGTGAATTCACCGGGTTCCTACTCGCTGCTCGTTACACAGAGGCGTGTGTGTGAGTGCGCGTGTGTGTAGAGTAAGGAAACTTTAAGGTTTGGCCCTGACCCGCCCGGGAATCAAACCCGGGTCCTCTCTCGCTTGCGAGGCCGGGGCTCTACCCCCCGAGCGACAGGGACTCCCACCCCCCGAGGACCGTGAGAGACGAGGTTTATTTTCTGAGCGTAAGGCAGTGTTGAGCGCTCACGATGAATGACGCCGGGCGTGAGATGCGGGCCTTGGGGGTGGGGTGGGGGAGGATGGGGGGGAGGGGGAGACGGTGCGGGGGGGGGGAGAGGAAACGTCTCTCACTGCCTGTCCTGGGTTATTGCATTCAGAAGACTTATTGTGGTGTTGACTGCGAAGCAGAAACAACAGCTGCAAAGCAAGCGGCCGGGCCTTGGCTCGGAGAAGAACAGCACCAAGTCAACGCGGTATCCATCGACGTTGCAGGGCACGAACTCATGGGCTGCTTTATGTGTGCCCACGGCCGGTCAGGGCGAGACATTGGGCAAGTTTCCTCACTCCACACTCACACACACACACACACGCCTCTGTTTACCGGCAGTCAGTGGGAACCCGGTTGTCAGTCGATTGGGGGATCGCTTTTTCCAGGGCCTTTTATTAAAAAATAAATAATAATTTGGCCACTCGACCCGCGGCTGTTTGCGGGGGACGCTGCTGTGCGCAATCGGCCGCCGCGTTTCGCCCACAAAACACGCAGTAGATTCACTTTACAGCGTATCCCGCGAAGCGCTTTGAGACGTCTCAAAGATGCGATAAGGCCCCGTGTCAAGTGCCGGGAGGATTGTTCTCATTATAAAATAATAATAAAGTGAATTGACTCTGTATTTTGCGGGCGATGGGAAAGAGGAGGGAGGGACCTGTGGGAGACCTCTTTACCTGTTGGACCCCACCCCGGAGCCCTGACATTGTCAAGCAATCACTAACTTGTGTTCCTTACCCCCATACACACAAACACACACACAATTGCCTGCGTGTGCGCGCGTGTGTGTGTGTGTGTGACACAAGCTATTGCTTAGTCCAGAAAGAGACAAGTTGTGCCAACAGGGAGCTCAGTCAATACAGAGAGAGAGAGAGAGAGAGAGAGCGAGAGAGAGAGAGAGAGCGCAAGAGAGAGAGAGAGAGGAGTGAGTCTCTGTGCCAATTGGCAGATCAGATCAGAAGTATTTTAGAAAGTGTGTGTGTGTGTGTGTGTGTGTGTGGGTGGGTGGCGAGACTTTTTTTTGTTGGCACCAGAATAAAGGGGTTCAGAGTTCTCTCTCTCTCTCTCTCTCTCTCGCTCGCTCTCTCTGCTTCGCCTTTCCCTATCGGGCTCCGAGGAACAATAAAAAATACTGATAGGCAGCGGGTATGCGGATTTGAGAGGAAGATAGTTCTGTTATGGTAGGTGACTGATTGCTTTATTCCCAGCGCGTGTGTGTGAGAGAGGGAGGGAGGGAGGGAGGGAGAGAGGGAGGGAGGGAGGGAGAAGAGAGCAGCGACTGAACCAGTCAGTTAGCCAGTCCTCATCTCTCTCTCTCTCTGTGTCTATCTCTTGTCTCTCTCTCTCTCTCTATCTATCTATCTATCTCTTGTCGCTCTCTCTCTGTCTATCTCTTGTCTCTCTCTCTATCTCTATCTCTATCTATCTATCTCTTGTCTCTATCTCTCTCCCTCTCTTTCTCTCTGCAGATCAACTGCTTGCGCCCCGGACAAATGAAGCTATCTGTCCACTCTGCTCTCCTCATCCACTGTTGGGTGACAGTGACATCAGTGAGTGGCTCTGTATTTTGGGAGGGGGTGTGTGTGGGAGGGTGTGTGTGGGGGTGGGGGGGGGGGGTGGGGGTTAATTTTTTTAAACGTATTTACTTTTGATATCCAATATATCTCCCGCGAAGCGCTTTGAGGCGTCTCGAAGACGCGATGAAGCGCCGTAGCGAATGCAAAGATTATTATTCTGATTATTAAATGTGAGGATTGTTATTAACCCGCCACCCGCTGCCTCCGCTCCACCGTCTCCTTCCGACCTCCTCCTCGTTCCCCCCCACCCCCCCACCCCCCAAGAACCTCCGCCCGACCATTGGCGACCACCGCGCTCCGAAGCTGTGTGGAACTCTCTCCCTCAATCGCTTCGCCTTACAGCCCGACACCCCTCCACCACCCACCCATCCCTCTCCCTCTCTCGAACCCGATTTCAGTTCGCGCTCAAAGACCCATCTCACCGACCGACTGAGCCTACGGTCGCCTTTCCCCCCCACACCACCCCACCCCCCCCTCCACCCTCCAACTGGCTCAGCATCGAGCTCCGCCACCGTGAAACCCTCCGAGAGACCGTTTAAAATAAATATATTTATGTCAAATATACTTATTTCCGGGATTTTTTCCAGCGCGAAGGGGGCTGTGTTTAAACGCAAGTTGTCGTGGTGTCTGTTGCGAATGTTAAGGACCAAAATGCTTATTAATCGCAATCGATAGTCATCTCACGTTGTTAACGAGAGAGAGAGGGAGAGAGAGAGGGAGAGAGAGGGGGAGAGAAAGAGAGAGAGAGAATCTCCCTTCCCTTTTTAGAGTAGCGCTGCAGGATCTTTAAAGTCCTGTCCAGTCCTGTCTCCCCCCCAGCACCCCCCGCCCCCCCATCCACCCCCGACCCCCCCCCCACCACCCTCTTCCCAGCGGGACAATGCTGTACAAGTTTACATTTATAAAGCGCCTTTCGCGTCCCGAGGCGCTGTGTTGACGAGACAGCCTCGAGCAGGTCAACATGGATCAAAGTCCCGACTTGTGGTGGGTGGGGGCGGGGGTTGAACCCACAGCCTTCCGACTCAGAGGCGAGAGAGAGAGAGCGAGAGAGAGAGAGCGAGAGAGAGAGAGAGAGAGAGCGAGAGCGAGAGAGAGAGAGCGAGAGCGAGAGCTACCCACTGAGCCGGGTTGACACCTTTTTTTTTCCCAATCAACAAGTCGAAAAAAATGATTCTCTCTCTCTCGCCTCTCAGACAAAAAGTTGTGGGGCTCGAGCCCCACCTCGGGGTCTTTGAGCTCACCTCGCAGTCCGGACTGAACCCTCCATTGCGCAGTGTTGACGCTAAAGGAACCCTGTGACCCCTTTCCCCCCCTCGCCCCCCCTCCCCGTGTCCTGGCCGACCATTCCCCCGGTGAAATCGGTCACTCACCTCACGGCTGATTGCGGAACTTTTTTACCGGGCAAATCGGCCGTCGTGTTTCGCCAGCGAAATTAGCATTAGAAGGCAATACAATTTGCACTTTCATTGCACGGTTCAGGTCGAGGAGATCGTCTTTGAATGAGGGGAGGGAAGGAGGGAAGGAGGGAAGGAGGGATGCATTTCCAGAGAGCGGAGACAGATCGACTTAGAGCTCCCCAACGAAGAATCCTATCAACTGCTCCCATCGGGTTTTCAGTGGCTTCAAGATCCTCGCGTTACAACCCGGATCCAACCCTTGAAAGTGTCTTCGTTCTACGTTTCTGTGTGTTTTAACTCGCGTCCGGGGGACCCGGGTTTTCAATCAGAATTTCTGCAGCAGATGAGCGGAGTGAACTCATGAACAATAACTGTTCATCATAGCGCGGAGAGAGGGCAGGTGGAGGGGAGGGCGGGGGGTCACTCTTTCTCTCTCTCATCTCTCTCTCTCTCTCTCGCTCTCTTTTTATCTCGCGCTCTGCAGACTTTGTGTTAGAAGGAGTCACGGGAGTCGTATAAAAGCTCAAGGGTTAGAGCGCTCGCCTTGCAAGCGAGAGGAGTGAGGTTCCTGGGCAGAAAGATTCCTTAGGCAATTTCCTTCCTCGGCTCGCCCCTGCTTACCCAGCAGGGAGCAGGTTGTTAATCGACTGACTTTCCAGGGATAACAATCCCTTCGAAAAGAAATAAATGATAAATAAATAAACGCGGTCTTCAATCCACGACTGTTTGTGTGGGGTGCCGTTGGCGCAATTGGCTGCCGGGTTTCGCCCGCAGAGGATACAGCCAATTCATTGTGCGGTGTATCCTGTGAAGTGGTTTGAGACGCGATAAGGCGCTGTATCCAATGCAAGGATTATTATTATTATTATTATTATTATTTAAAATTCCTGCCGTGAAGTTAACACTAACGATTGAGGGTTTTCCTGTTTGACGCGTGGATTTTTAAAGCAATCAAACTCCGAGTTTTGCAACGCAATTCAAATCTGCATCTGCAGATCGATAGCAATTGTTTTAATGACAATCCTGGCATTTGATACAGCGCCTCATCCTGTCTTCGAGACGTCTCAAAGCCCCGCACGGACTCTCCTGTAAAGTGAATTGACTGTGTATTTTTGTGGGCGAAAGATTAGCGAAAACACTGTCAAAGAGGTAGGTCTCCGAGGACTTTGCACCTTTTGGACGGTTGTTTAAAGCGTAAGAACAGCGTTGTCAGTAGCAAACCGAGACCTTTTAGCCGGTTAGACTCCAGCAGTTACCCCCAACACTCTGGGTTCCCCCCCCCCCCACACCACCACCACCCCAAGCCTTGGCTCTGCGCCTAATACTCTCTGGAATTAGGTAAGCAGGATGCATCCCTCCAGGGAGAGAGAGACAGAAGGAGAGAGAGAGATAGAGAGAGAGAGAGTGTATTCCATTCCGACAATCTATCTCTGGGATTCCCACGTGTCGTTGGGAGGTCTGGAATTCTCAGTTGGGGTTTGGAGACTCTTAAGCGACGGTGACGGGTTTCCGCGTGTGTCAGACACCCCCCGACTGACCCCAAAAACGATGTGAATGAAGAGGAAGCGGTTTCTGAATGTCATTTTCCGTTTCCCAGACCCTGGGGATGAATTCTGAGTGTGACATTGTCCTGGAGATCAAACAGCGACAAGCGGAATGTCTCCGGGATTTAGAATTGGAGGATCAGACCCTGCACAACGGTGAGTGTGTGTGGGGGGGGGAGTGGGGGGGCTGCGGGGGGGGGGGGCTGCGGGGGGAGGGGGGTGTTTCTCTCTATCCTATAGGTGATGGAAATAATCAGAAAGTCATCACACAAGAGGAGATCGCGCCAATAAAACACACAGTCGGTTCACTTCACAATGTATCCTGTGAAGCTTTAAGACATCTCAAAGACGTGATAAGGCGCCGTATCATATATAGGATTTATTATTATTATTATTATTATTATTATGTACATCTCGATACTTTTGGTGGAGAGGCAGACTGACCGATCGATCAGCCTTCCATTTGACATAACGCCTTATCACGTCGTTGAGACGTCTCAAAGCGCTTCACGGAGTAGACTGCCAAGTGTAGTGACTGTGTGTTTTTGTGGGCCAAACGCAGCAGTCAATTCATTGAGCGCAGCAGTGCCCCACAAACAGTCGTGGTTTGAGGGACCGAATTTTCTTGTGTTTTTTTTGGAGGGATTATTAGCCTCAGAAAAGCAATCCGTCCAATAATATGTTGATGTGTTTTAACGCTCTGTGTAGTTCCATGTTAACAGACACGTACACGCACACGCACACACACACACACACGCACACACGCATCGTTGACAGGTAGGAAATGCAGTCAACAACAATAATAACTTGTATTTATACAGCGCCCTTCACATGGGGCAGAGTCTCGGAGCGCTTAACAGTGATGGAGTTTGACCCCAAGCGGGGGCTGGGGTTGGAGAGAGGAGGTGACCGTAAGCACAGTCGAAGAGAAAGGTCCTCAGTCGTGATCTAAAAGAGGGGAAGGAGGGGGTGAGGCGGAGGGAGGGATTGGGGGAGAGAGAGTTCCAAAGCTTCAGGGCTTAGTGGCTGAAACGACTGGAAGTCAGATGTCAAGGCTGATGAGTAGCATCAGGACATATAGGGGTTTAACCGTAGAATCATAGAAATTAACAGCACTGAAGCAGCCCATTCAGTGTACGAGGTCTGTCCTGACTGCCCAGAGAAAGCTATCCATTCAATCCCACTGCCCTGTCCTATCCCCACACCCGCTTCAAGCCTCTATCCTCCACACACCGGTCCACATCCCCCTCGAAACCCACGATGAACTCGGCCTCGAGTTTGAGACTGTCTGAAATTGTCAACAGGCACGAACGATCCTGTCTTTATTGTGTAAGTTAATGATGTGCATTTAGCATTGCACATGCACACGCTGGCGCACACACGCAGAGCCGGGCAGCAGGCAGAGAGGCTGACGGAGGAAAGCTGTCAGATTGTCAATAGACCCCCGAGCAATCATGTCACTTATCTTAAGGAAGCCTCTCATTCAACGTGGAGGGTGGGAGCTGCCGGCAACTTCAACAGCACTGACGCGGAGGCTCTCCTGTGGCCTCGGATTATTATTAGTCCTGTAGCTCAGTGGTTAGAGCCCTCGAGAGGAACCTGGGTTCGATTCCCGGGCGGGTCAGGGCGGTACGCTGGGGAAGTTTCCTTACTCCACGCGCGCACAAAAAACACGCGTTTGTCCAGCTTCTCAAAACCGCGACTGAATAATTCCCTTTAATTCCAACCCAGGTTGGAAATTATTTTCAAAGAAAATTGGATAGCTGCTTACAGAGGAGGTGGAAGGAATCCTTGCATTTGATGTGGCATCTTTGAAGTCTATGGGGACCTTCCAGCCTTTGGAGAGCAAAAAAAAAAAACTTGGGAGGATTTTTCCTGCGCTGCGTTGGGTTGAATATTCTGTCGCTGTGCTCCAGTGATAAGATTGTGGTAATAATAATAATCCCTGCACTTGATACGGCGCCTCATCATGTCGTTGAGAGGTCTTAAAGGGCTTCACAGAATCGTGGATAGTAAAATTGGATTGACTGCGCAGTTTGTGGGCGAAACGTGGCAGATAATTGCTCCACAAGCAGAGGTGGATTGAGTGACCAAGTGTGCGGGGTTTTTTTCCCCAAGGGGTCATTGCCCCAGGGAAAGCGATCTGCCAATCGTCAAAGTGTTCAAGAGACCTCGTTCGCCAAACCTCCCTTGTGAAGTTTTAATCTCCCCACATCACGGCATTCTTATCAGAATTTATTTGCGGAGTTTAAACACAGAGTTTATCAACACTTATCTATCTATCTATCTATCTATCTATCTATCTATCTATCTATCTATCTATCTATCTATCTATCTATCTATCTATCTCTCTCTCTCTCTCTCTCTCTCTCTCTCTATCTATCTATCTATCTATCTATCTATCTATCTATCTATCTATCTATCTATCTATCTATCTATCTATCTATCTATCTATCTATCTATCTATCTATCTATCTATCTATCTATCTATCAATTGCAACCCACCAGGTGCATTAATAAACATTATACAGCCATCAAAGAGAACAGATGTATCATCAATTTACATTGTTTACTCAGTGTGATTTGATTTCCACATATATTCATAAAACAGGACAAGGTAAAGTAACACTGCGAAAAATCATTAGACAGCAATACACAATTGGGACTCAATCAATATATAACCCTTGCGTTTGATGTCGTGTCCTATCATGTTGATGAGACGTCTGAAAGCCCCTCACGGAGTAGACTGTAAAGTGTAGGGACTGTGTATTTGTGGGTGAAACGCGGCAGCCTATTGCACACAGCAGCGTCCCCACAAACAGTCGTGGGTTGAGTGTTTTTTAGGGTGGGATTATGGTTACCCCCGGAAAGCGATCCGCCAATCGACTAACAACCGGGTTCCTACTTACCGCTAGAAGCCTGCGGAGCAAGGAAACTTGCCCGAGGTTTCTCCCTGCCCCGGGAATCCAACCCGGGTCCTCTCGCTTGCGAGGCGAGGGCTGGAACCGCTGAGCTACAGGGACTCAAGGTGTGAATGTGAATTGCTGACCCTCCCTTCTTCCCTCCCTCCTTCCTTCCCTCCCTCCCTCCCTCCCTCCTCTCTCTCTCTCTCCCCTCAGGATGTACAGGAATGTGGGACAATATAACATGCTGGCCCTCAGCTAACACTGGGGAGGTGGTGGTGGTTCCGTGTCCACAGTTATCGGCTCTGTACTTTGACGTTCAGGGTGAGTACGACTAAAGAGACGCACAGCAATGGACCCACGTCCAACAACGACCCTCGCTAACCCTCTCCGGACTGAGGGCAAGTGGTCTGTGTCCCTCTGGGGAGAAGGTGAGCATCCCATGCCAACACATGGGAATTACCGTTACGTGTGTGGAATTCAGACCAGTCATTGGGAATCATCCCACTCAGCCCTTAACCCTCCTGGTTCACCTTCCGAGCCAAAGCCCTGACTAACGGGTGGTTGGGTGGTCCTCGCTGGACAAGCAGCGGGAAAGCTTGGCCAGACAGCGCCCTCGACGGCCAAGCCCTGTGGGCTTAGCTGGTTAGACCCCAGCAGTCACCCCCGAATCGCACACTCCGGGCTCCATACGTGAAATACTCTGAATAATAATAATAATAATAATAATAATAATAATAATAATAATAATCCTGGCATTTGACACAGCGCCTTATCACGTCTTCGAGACGTTTCAAAGCGCTTCACAGGACACACTGTAAAGTGTAGTGACTGTGTGTTTTGTGGGCGAAGCGCAGCAGCCAATTGCGCCCGACGACATCCCCGCAAACAGCCGTGGAGTGAAGTGACCAAATTATTACTCTTTTAATTTTGGGGGGAAGATAAACTGTATTGTATACCGGGGAGCCATGGATTCTCTTTGTGTCTCAATGACACTCCACTGATCGCTTGATCCTACAGCTTGTGGAGCTTCCGAACCTGTGAAGTTTTTTTCCGTCTTGTCTTCCAGCCAACGTCAGCAGAAACTGTACGAGCGAGGGCTGGACTGCTCTCTCTCGCTCCTACCTCCTCGCCTGTAGGGTCAACGCCAACATCACCTCGTCCGAGGAACAGGTCAGTGAGCGACCTTAAGGTCATTCGATTCCCTCGTAGCCTCTCCCGACTAAGCTCTGGTCTTGAGCCCACAACCTTCTGACTCAGAGGCGAGAACGCTTTGAGGCGTCTGGAAGACGTGATGAGAGGCGCTACACCAAATGCAGGGATTATGATTATTATTACTAACCCAGGAATCGAACTGGAGACCTCTCTCTTGCGAGCGGAGGCTGAAAGCTCCATTATCACCTCTCGGCTACGTGTGAATGAGGTTTGGAGGAACTTGTAGCTGAATAACGCAGAGAAGGGGACTCAGCGGGTTAAATTCAATGCCAATTAACACAAATCTCCTGGTCTCTTCGATTACCAGACAGGAAGAAAGTAGCTTTTATTTTGTGCTGAGAGTGGTAATATACTGGTGTCAAGGTCTGCCAGGAGAAAGCCTTTTAATAATCTCTCCGCGCTGCACGTTAGCATTGAAAACATCCCCCCCCCCACCCTCCTTTGAAACCTGTTCTCCCCCCCGACTGCTGATGAATGCACAAGAAATGAGTAATTCTTCCAGCGAATTGATTGAGGTACCTGGAGCCATTGCTGGAGAACTGTCAGCTTTTGTCTGTCTATAAGGTTAGACTCGGGTTCAGCTTTAACTGAGTCGTGGGGGAGTGGAAGGCACAGAGTCTGGCAAATTTTCGTTGTGAGTCTGTCGACTGTCGAGCGCTATGCCCCCGTTAATGGTCATAATCCTCGCACTCGACCCAGCGCCGTATCGCGTCATTGAGACGTCTCAAAGCGCTTCACGGGCTACGCCGCAAAGTGTAGTGACGGTGTGTTTTGTGAGCGAAATGCGGCAGTCTAATTGCGCCCGGCAGCGTCCCCACAAACAGCCGTGGATTGAGTGACCGATTTATTATTATTATTTATTTATTTGAAGGGATTATTACTCCAGAAAGCAATCGCCAATCAAATCACAACCGGGTTCCAACTTACCGCTAGGTCAACAGAGGCGTTACGCCTTGACCGGGAATCAGACTTAGGTCCTCCGGCTTGAGAGGCGAATGCTCTAACCACTACACCACAAAGCTTTATAGTGCCCTTTACGAGTGGTAGCGTCTCAGAGTTTTACTGTAACTCTGCCAATTTTTGGGAGTCAACCGGTGGGTGTCTGACACACGTGGAAACCCGTCACCGTCGCTTAAGAGTCTCCAAACCCAACTGAGAATTCCAGACCTCCCAACGACACGTGGGAATCCCAGAGATAGATTGTCGGAATGGAATACTCTCTCTTTCACTCTCTCTCTCTCTCTCGCTCTCTCTCCCTCCTTTCTCTCTCTCTGGAGGGACGCACCTGTTTACCTAATTCCGGAGAGCATTAGGCACAGGTTGGCGAGAGCCAAGGCTTGAGGGGGGGTGGGGGGGGGGGTGAGGGGAGCCCAGAGTGTGCGTTGGGAGTAACTGCTGAAGTCTAACCAGTTAAAGGCGCTATATAAATGGAAGTTGTTATTGTTGTTGGATGGAGAGCTAAAAATAACATATAAGAGTCAATCAATACATTTCTTTTTCGCCCGCAGAGAATATTTTATGGAGCCGTGAAGATAGGCTACACGGTTGGCTACAGCTTGTCTCTCTTTTCCCTGACGGCAGCTATGAGCATTCTTTGTATCTTCAGGTGAGAAGGAACCTCCACTCACTCATCTCACGCACAAGCGCAGAAGTGGGACATTATCTCCTTCTTCTGCCAATTTAACCTCTTTTGCCCTTATCTCTCCCTCTTTTCTCTCAGCTTTACTTCATTCCCACTTTTGCTCACCCCTTCCTTCCAGATTTCCGCAACCCTTTGCGGGAAAGAAATAGTTTCACTCCTACCAGTAACTCACTTTAAGATGATGCCCTTCTTCTGGATTTCCTCACCAGAGCAAATAGCTTCTCTGGATCTAACCTATTGAGTCCCTAAGTGTTTATAATCATCTCCAAACAGAGGCTTCCCACCCATCTCTTCCCATTTCAAGGCCCTCCTCTTCGATCGTGCCTTTGTCACCCTCCAATCCCTCCACCCTCCCGGCCCTCCACCCCCTCCTGATCCCAACCCTCAGCTCAGGTCCAAATCCCTGACCATTTCGCCCACAAATGCGCAGTCAATTCACTTTACCGTCTATCCTGTGAAGCGCTTTGAGACGTCTCGATGACGTGATGAGGCGCTGTGTCAAATGCCGGGATTATTATTATTATTATAATTATTATTATTGGCCGCCCGACGTGAAAGGCACTTTACAAATAATGTGTTGTTGTTGTTGTTGATGATGTTGTTGTTGTTGTTGTAGGAAGCTGCATTGTACCAGGAACTACATCCACATGCACCTGTTCATGTCCTTCATGCTGAGGGCCATCGCAGTCTTTATCAAGGACTTTGTCCTGTTTGAGAACGAGGAGTCAGATCACTGCTTCGTGACTTCGGTACGTGAAGTGGAGCGGGAAATAGGGATTTGTCCCCAATCGTTAACTCTGCAGCAGCAGTAAGAACAACAACTTGCATTTACACACACGGAGACAGAGTCTCGGAGCGCTTAACAATGGTGGAGCTTGACACCCAGCCGGTGGGGGGGTGGGGGGGGTAGGGGGGGGGCAGGAGGTGACCGTAAGCACGGTCAAAGAGGAAGGACTTCAGTCGTGATCTAAAAGAGGGGAAGGAGGGGTCGAGACGGAGGGATTGAGAGGGGGAGAGAGTTCCAACGCTTCTGGGTGTAGTGGCTGAAGGTGGAGGGGAGAGGAGGGGACGGGGGACAAGCAGGAGGCCGGAGCTGGGACGAGCGGAGGCAAAAGGTGGCGGAGTGGGGGAGAGAGAGCAGGTCGGAGAGGTCGGGAGGTGAAGGGATTTGTAGATGAGTGAGAAGGTCTTGAAATGGTAGGGGGTGTTCCCGGGGAAACAAGCCCAGGTCCTCTGGCTTGCGAGGCGAGCTCTCTGAGCTGCAGGACTTCACGAGCAGGAGATCAGTACGTAAAATTGGCCCGAGATATTTCGAAAGTAATCCGCTTTCTCTTGAATATTACGGCTTCAACCCGGACTGAATTCTCGCTCCCTTTCGGTTTCAGGTCGGCTGTAAGGTTGCCATGGTTTTCTTCCAGTACTGTATCATGGCCAACTTCTTCTGGCTGCTGGTAGAAGGCTTGTACCTGCACACGCTGCTAGTCATCTCGTTCTTCTCAGAGAAGAAGTACTTCTGGTGGTACATCGTGATCGGCTGGGGTACGTACCCGCCTCGCTCTCTGTCATTAGTTTGCCAGCCTGGCGCAGCGGGTAGCCTCTGAGCCAGAAGGTTGTGGGTTCCATCCCCCACGTCCTACAGGCGAGACGTTAAACCGAGGCCTGTCCAGGTGGACCTAAAGATCCTGCGGCACTATTCGAAGGGAGTCTCTCTCTCTCTCAAAGCGCTTCACAGGATATACTGTAAAGTGAATTAGCAGCGTATTTTGGGGGCGAAACAAGGCAGCCAATATCCCAGGAAATGTCGGGGACTGAGTGACCAAATTGTCCTATTTTTTTCGAGGGATTATTGTCCCCCAAAAAGCCATCCGCCAATTGACTTAACTACCAGGTTTCTACTTACCGCTGGGTAAGCAGAGGCGGGGGTGGGTGTGGAGTCAGGAAACTTGTCGAAGGTTTCGTCCCGATTCGGGAATCGAACCCGGGTCCTCTCGCTTGTGAGGCGAGCGCTCTAACCGCTGAGCTTGGGATTCTCCTCCTAGCGTAGGAAACGGGCGTAGGAAAATCGCAGGCAGCGAAATTCTGATCGAAAGCAATTTTTTTGTAATTATCCACAGGGTCCCCAACGCTGTTTATCACCACCTGGTCCATCACCAGATTTCATTTCGACAACATTGGGTAAGATATCAGCCTCTTCTATTCTTCCAGGAGTTTGGGGGTGGAGGGAGGGGGGGGGAGAGGGGGTTGGGGGAGTGGGAGGAAGTGGGGTCTCCTTGGGACTGAGCTGGCTCCGTGGGTCAATAGCAGGAGCCAATTGCGCACAGCAACGTCCCCCCAACAACCATGTAAAAACGGTCGAATATTATTGGGGGGAATTGTTGGCCGGGACTGGCTGCCGCGTTTCGCCCACAAAATATAGTTAATTCACTTTACAGCATTATATACCGTGAAGCGCTTTGAGACGTCTCGAAGACGCGATAAGGCGCAGTATCAAATGCGAGGCTTAATATTACTGTAGACCTTCTGTTCGCTGAGGGATATTGAAGCGGTTGTATATGTTTTCCAGATGTTGGGACACCATTGAATCTCCATTCTGGTGGATCATCAAAGGCCCGATCTTAATATCCCTTTTGGTAAGGCAGACCCACGCCGCTGGTTTCAACCTGTATTTGATGTGATGATAATCTTCTCACAGTGGAGTCCCTGTAGCTCAGGGGTTAGAGCCCTCGCCTCGCAAGCGAGAGGGCCTGGGTTCGATTCCCGGGCAGGAGTGAAACGTTGGGCAAGTTTCCTTACTCCACACACACACACACACGCGCGCACTCGCTTTAATGTAGGAACCTGGTTGTCAGTGGATTGGTGGATTGCTTTTCCGCGGGGTACTAATCCCTTCAAAACAAAAATAATAATAAACCAATCCACGACCTGTTTGTGGGGGACGCTGCTGTGAGCAATCGGCTTCCGCGTTTCGCCCACAAAACACACAGTCACTACACTTTACGGTATATTCCGTGAAGCTCTTTGAGACGCCTCGAAGACGTTGAAGATGGATAGCTTGGTGCGAGGCCTGACGTGACATGTGCAAGCCACTGCCAGGACGGTGGAAGGGATGAGATGGACCTTGATCTTCTTATGTCCAGCAAATTCTTACGTCCTGGTGTTTTTGCCTCTCCAGGTAAACTTTATTCTCTTTATCGGTATCATCCGAATCCTGGTACAGAAGCTACACTCCCTGGACATCGGACCCAGTGAGTCCAGTCAATACTCGTAAGTAAAACCAGCCTCGCGCTGTCTTTCTTCATGTCCCGGCTCGACTACGCCTCCTTCAAGGCTCATCTCAAGACCTTTCTCTGTGTCCGTGCCTTCGGTCATCTTCCCGCCTCCACCCCTCCTGCCCTCCACCCACCCCCAACCCCCAATTCCAACCCCCAGCTGGTCAAATGCAAACCCTAAAACTCTCCGGCACCCCTTGGGACATCCTCCTGAAGTGAAAGGGGCCTGTGTAAATACAAGTTGTTGTTGTTGCAACAACTTACATTGAATACAGTGGCCTTGAGATGGACTATGAATGGAGGGAGGGAGACCAGGGACAGAGCAGCTGAAAGCCGGTCTGATGATGGTGGGGTGGGTAAGCCACGGGGACATGAAGTGGGCAGAGATCAGAGGTCGGGTCTGAAGGATCTTTGTTCTCATGGGCGTCTCTCTCCCTCTCTCTCTCTCTCTTATTAACAGGAGATTAGCGAAGTCAACTCTCTTACTGATTCCTCTGTTTGGGCTGAATTACATCGTGTTTGCGTTCTTCCCCGACAACTTCAAAGTGGAGTTCAAGCTGGTGTTTGATCTCATCCTGGGGTCATTTCAGGTGAGAGAGAGAGAGAGTCGCACTTTATCCTTGTCCTGACCTTTAAAGCCCCCTCCACCCTCTTGCTCCTCCCTACCTCAAGCAGGGAGTTAGCGTAGCGTAATGCCTTGCGGCGTAAAGACACACTCTACATCACGAGGGGTTTCATTCCCCACTGGTTACGTTGCTGTTAGGGTTCAACCCCACGGTCGATGGTAACCCTCTGTATCGTGGCTCCCATGGAGATGGCCTTAGCTCACTCACTGAGCCACAATGCAAGCAGTTTGACCACCTGTTAATTCTCCCAACGCTGACACATACACACACACACGCACACACACACACACACACGCAATCAAGGGCGTTGGTAGATAAATAACACGGCACAAATCACACAACCCACTCCTCATTCCGGCAAATAGTAAATATAACATTTGGGATCGTATTTATCCAATGAAAACCAAATAAACCACAAAACAAGCATTTGTATTGGGCCACCCATTGCGTTGGGTTAAGGTGGTTCGACTTTCAATCCTTTAATCATTTACTGACAGCATTCCGTCTCGAAGTCCTGTATGTCCTGTTAGAGCCCTCGCCTCGCGAGCGAGAGGACCCGGGGTTCGACTCTCGGCCGGGTCAGGGCGAGACATTGGGCAAGTTTCCTCACTCCACACACACACACACACACACACGTCAGTAGGAACCCGGTTGTTAGTCGCTGGGCGGATCGCTTTTCCCGGGGATGATAATCCCTTCAAGATAAAATTTTAAAAATAATAATAATTTGGTCGCTCAACCCGCGGCTGTTTGTGGGGACGCTGCTGTGCGCAGTCGGCCGCCGCGTTTCGCCCACAAAACACACAGTCAATTCATTTTACAGTGTATCCTGTGAAGCGCTTTGAGACGTCTCGAAGACGTGATAAGGCGCTGTGTCAAATGCCGGGATTATTATTATTATTATTATTATTATTTATAGTCTGGTTCCAGGCAAAGTCAAACCAAACCTCTCGGCATTTGAGAGCATTTTTTTGTAAGGAGAAATATTGAGACGTCTTCACGGTTGAACAGCAAAGCTCTTTGCCTCCGGGTCAGAAGATTGTGGGATCAACCACAGGCCGATTTTTCAGTTCAAAATCCTCGTCCTCGCTTTCAAAGCTTCTCTCCTCCTTTGGGGAGGGTGGGGTGGGGTGGGGAGTGGGAGGGGGAAGAGGGGGGGGGTTGTGGGGTGGGGAGTGGGGGGGGGGTGGTGGAGCTGCTCTGTTGGAGGTGGGGAGTGTCTTCGGACACTTAAACCGAGGTTGTGTCTGCCTGTTGAGGTGGATGATGGAGAAGGTACTGGAGAAGAGATGGGATTATTTAACCTGAACCGGGGCAGACGGGAGCTCGGGTTAACATCTCATCCGAAGGACGGCACCTCTGGCGGTGCTCCCCCCACCCTCTCCCCCCACCCCCATCCCCAGCACTGGCCTGGAGCATCAGCTGACACTGAGCGAGTTGCCAATAACCGATATTGCTCTTCACTCTTCGCAGGGCTGTGTCGTGGCCGTCCTGTACTGCTTCCTGAATGGAGAGGTAAGAAGCACCAGACGGGTATCTCTGTAAATACAACGCCGTTCACAATCGCACGGCGCCCTTCGCGCCGGGAGGACGTGCCTCGCCGTTTAACGCTGTTGGCTGGGTCCACGGGCTGAGGGTTTGAGCAGAGCGGGCTGGGGAGGGTGTGGTGGGGGGGGGGGGGAGAAAGGTGACCCCCAACACTTCTTGAGATGGTATTTTAAACCAAGTAACCAGGGTCCGATGTCGCCTTCCTGCTGGTTGAATATCAAGATGTATTGTCTCAGGATGAAAGTGACTGGAAGTGAATTGGAGCAGTTAGTAACCTCCCTCCCCACCGCACCACCACCCCCCCACCCGCCTCACCCCTTCCCTGTTTGTTGCCCCCTACCCCAGGTTCAGTCGGAGCTGAGGAGGAAGTGGAGGCGTTGGCACATTGAGAAGTACCTGGGCACAGGCATGAAGTACCACCAGCCCTGCAACAGCAATGCCAGCTGTGCCACACAGATCTCCATGCTCTCCAAATCCAGCCCCAAAGCCTCGTCATTCAGCTTCCACACAGAGTCTTCCATCGTCTAGCGCTGTGCAGTTACCAACCCCGCCCCCCATCCCACCCCTCCCACTCCATCCCACCCCTCCCACCCCATCCCACTCCCTTCCACTCCATCCCATCCCACTCCATCACATCCCAATCCATCCCACCCTTCCCACTCCATCCCACCCCATCCCACCCTATCCCACTCCATCCCACCCTATCCCACTCCATCCCACCCCATCCCATCCCATCCCACACCATCTCGCCCCATCCAACCCTATCCCACCCCATCTCGCCCCATCCCATCCCACCACACCCCACCCCATCCCATCTCGCCCCATCCAACCCCATACCACCCCATCCCACCCCCACCCAACAACAATAATAATAATAATAATCCTTGCATTTGATACAGCTCCGTATCACGTCTGCGAGACGTCTCAAATCACTTCACAGGTTACACCGTAAAGTGAATTGACAATGTTTTGTGGGCGAGATTATTATTATTATTATTATATAGTCAATTAGATAAGAAAATCTCTCCAGGGAGAGAGTGCGCATTCCATATCGGTCGGAAGCACTCTCGCCTCCAAGTCAGAAGGTTTTATCTTGATTCTCTGTGTGTGTATGTGTGTTTGTGTGTGCGTGGGTGTGTGTTGGTGTGTGTGTGTTGGTGTGCGTGTGTGTTGGTGTGTGTGTATGTTGGTGCGTGTGTGTTGGTGTGTGTATGTGTGCTCACGTCTATGGTGTATAATGAACCAGTTGAATGTAGGACGTCTGTGTTCCAATATTTATAAGCGCCAAGCGGTGTGTTGAAGTTACGTGCTCTCTTAAATGCCAAACACCTCCACAATCTATGTCCGTGGCCACTCCTGTACATCGCGAGCTCTGGCAACAACTCTGAATGCGTTCATTCCAAGTCTCCAGCTGTGAAGTCAATAAAGTTCATGTCGATGTGTTTTGTACATAAAACAAACCTTAATTTGAATTCTCTTCCAACAGTTCTTCCAAACTTCTCAAGACACCTCCTCTTCGACCGAGCCCCCTACCCTCTACCCTCCATTGCCCTCCACCCCCTCCTGATCCCAACCCCCAGCTCGGGTCCAAATCCCAGACCGTCCAGGGTCTTGGGAAGTCCTCCCGACCCGAAAGGCGCTGATTAAATGTTGTTATTGTTGTTAATTGTCTGCCGGGATTCGCCCACAATACACGCAAGTCACTACACTTTACGGTCGAAGAGGAAGGTTCTCAGGCGGGACTTGAAAGAGGGGAGAGAGGGGGGGCAGGTGGAGGGATTGAGGGAGAGCGTTCCAGAATGTCGGGGCGTAGCGGCGGAGAGCGCCACCTCCGACGGTGGGGCGGAGGGAGCGAGGGACGAGCAGGAGCCGGGGGCCAGTCGAGCGGAGGCGCTGACTGGGTGGTGGATTGGGGGGAGTGAGGAGGTCGGACAGGACAGGACAGGACAGGACAGGGAGGGGAGACTGACGAGGAGAGCGTTGGAGTAATCCAGGCTCAAGGTGACAAGCGCGAGTTGATGTCCTTTATATAATCGTGTTCGGTTCCCGGGCAGTCGGGGTGAAACCCTCGGCAAGTTTCCTTACTCCACACACGCACACACGCCTCTGTTTACCAGCAGCAAGTAGTACCGGCTTGTTAGTCGATTGGAGGACCGGTTTCTGGGGGTGATAATCCCTCCCAATAACAAATAATGACGTGATCACTTAATCCACGACTGTTTGAGGGGCCGTCGCTGGGGGCCCAATTGGCTGCCGTGCTTCTCCCACAAAACTTTACGGCGTTTTTCCTGTGAAGCGCTTTGAGACGTCCGACGACGTGAGGAGGCGCCGGGTCAAACGCGAGGATTATTACTATTATTTTTTTTATTATGGCGCGATGCCCAGAATACTCCAGCTGCCAACCAACCCAATGGCTGGTGATAGATTCAGCATCGCTGCCTCAGGCTTCAATTCAACCAGAAATAACCTTCAGCCTTTCTGGATAAATGTGTGACCCATCGTGCCAGACTGGTCCACAGCCTAACAAGGTAAGGGAATCACTCTCCAGAGGTGTGAGATATTGATCCGGTGGAGGTGATATTATAATGGTTCGTGAACTCCTCTCACTCGGTGAAAAATCGATGGAAACGTACTCTAGTGAAATGACACTGGGGGTGGGCGGAGGGGGGGGAACGGGGGGGGGGGACGGAGGAGCTCACTCAACCGATGCTCAGCAAGAACACGTTACACTTTTGCTCCACTGCTGATAACCCCCCACCCCCCCTCTGTTTCCTGTGAAAGGTTTCTGCATTAGCCCCGCACCCCAACACACGTCACTGGTGAAATGATTTAACTTTACGAGAGAGGAAGAGACAAAGAGAACGGCGAGAGAGGGAAACAGAGAGACAGACGGACGGACGGACGGACGGGAACAGGATGAAAGACAGGAGCGAGAAAGCGAATATAATGACAATAATCCTTGCATTTGTTATTGTGCCTCATCACGTCTTCGCGACGTCTCAAAGCGCTTCACAGATTATACTGTAAAACATAGTGACTGTGTTTTTTTGGGTGAAACGCGGCGGCCAATTGCGCACAGCAGCGTCCCCACAAACAGCCGGGGATTGCAGTGCCCGTTTTTTCCTATAAAAGAAACAGAGAGAGAGAGTTAGAGGGAAGGGGGGGGAGAGTGAGAAAGAGAGAAAGGCAGAAAAGAAGAAAGAGGAAAAAGAGAGAGAGGAAAAGGATGGAGAGGGGAGGCTTGAAGACGAAGAGAAAATGTAAAGGGAGAGTAGAGTGCAAGAGGGAAAGTTGGAGAGAAAAAACACAGTGAAGAGAAAGAGAACAGAGAACAAAGCAAAAGAGACAGAGAGAGACAGAGAGAGAGAGAGACAGAGAGTGAGAGAAACACACACAGAGACCACAGTCCAGCTCAGCGCTCGGGGGGAGCATTACATTGGTGAAGGCGGTGTCCTTCAAATGTTATTATTTATTATTATTTATTAAACCGTTCGCCTGTTCAGATGGACGTTAAAACCTCCCCCCCCCACGCATGGGTCCTGGCCAACAGTAACCCAAAATAAAATTGGTCGCTCGCTCCACGGCTGTTTGTGGGACACTGCAGAGCACAAATTACCCCACAATAACAACACACGGCATTTACACACAGCGTCTCTCACGTCAGGACAGTCAGGGATCCTCACCCGAGCTGGTGGATTGGGATCAGGAGGGGGTGGAGGGAGCGGGGAGGGGAGGGGAGGGGGCAGGAGGGTGACTGAAGGCATGGTTGGTCGAAGAGGAGGGTCTTGGGGTCTTTAAGACATCCTCTCGACACTGTATAAGTGTAACGTGTTGTGGTTTAGTCAATGCTGCTTATTCCCCCGATCGACAACTAATAGAGGCCGAAAGGATGGAGGATGGCTTTTCCCGGTGTAATAATAATCCCTTCCAAAAAAATTATAATTTGGTCGCTCAAAACCACGGCTGTTTGTGGGGACGCTGCTGTGCGCAATTGGCTCCACATTTCGCCCACAGTCGATTCACTTTACAGTATAATCTGTGAAGCGCTTTGAGACGTCTTGAAGACGCGATAAGTCAAGTCTAAGTAGTGTTATTATTTTTATATTATTTATTGCTATAAATTCCCTGTCCCCTCGTCCCGTCTCTCTCAGCTTTCAATTCCCGGCTGATTTAATCCAACTGAGGATTTTCATTACTGAATAATAGCCCAACTGCGCAGATAAATAGATAAATAATAAATAGATAAATAGATAAATAAATGAATGAATGAATGAATGAATACATATACACAAATCTACACAAATCTAGAGACAACTCTCTCGCCGTTTTACAGATAAGTGGTTTTAAATTTTATTCCCAGTGAGTCAGCGAGTCGGGGGTCAGGAAACTTCTCTTTATATATAAATATAATGTATAAAGTGCAGCAGCTCCTCAGAATTCTGAATTGCTTTAATAATCTTCTGCCAATCATTCGCCTCCCGACGGTTTGTCCTGAGCTGCGATCTGGGATATCAAAAAGGGAGTCAATTGATAAGCTCCTTCGGGGGGGGGGGGAGGTAAGTGGGGTCTTTTCGCAGCTGAACTGACTCCGAGGTGACATCTTTGCCAACAGAATGTCAGAATCGAGCCCCTCTCCCCCCACCCCCACCCTCTGTGCCGGTCTCCAGCCCCCGGGTCCTGAGCCAGGAGGGGCCGCAGTATCCCAGGGCACTGACTGCTGATGGCGGCACAGCCCGGCTCAGCTCATCCATCGGGAGGACCTGGAAGGGCCGACCGGTCACTGGGGGCAGGGAATCCTCCCCCTCGGCTCCTGGTAACCCCACAGCCGAAGCCCTGACTAACGGGGAGGGGGGTCCCAGCCGGACAAGCAGCGGGAAACCTGGCCGGACAGCGCTATCGATGGTAAACTGTTTGGTTTTAATAATAATTAGGTAATAATCCCTACAACAACAAAATTTGGTCACTCAATCCACCGCTGTTTGTGGGGTCGCTGCTGTGCGCAATTTTGGCTGCCGAGTTTTTGCCCACAAAGTACACGGTCACTACACTTTACGGTTTATTCTGCGAAGCGCTTTGAGACGTCTCAACAACGTGATGAGGCGCTGTATCTAATACAAGGATTATTATGATTATTATTATTGTTTTAGCTGAGCGACGGGAGACTCCGGGATTTGCTTGAGACAGTCTGACATCCCAGCACCACCCCCCACCGCCCTCCCCCACCCCGCACCACTCCACCTCCACATGCCCCCTCCAACCCCTCGCCCCCACCCCCAGAGAAAGCCTATCTGACGCCCATCGAACAACCGAAGACGCTTTCAAAAATCGTTGCGAGAAAATTACCGGGGGATTATTTTTTTTTGTCTCGAAGCGTGGGCGTGTTTCTCCACCTTCATCAGGAGAGAGACAGACAGTCTTTGTCCCAAGTATTACCCTCCTTTGTGCTTTAATAAGCACCTGTTCGTTCCAAGACTTTTATAGAGTCTTTTCATTAAATAATAATCTAAAACAAGAAATGATGGACTACAGATAAGGGCTTGAACAGGAGAGCTTTGAGCAC